CTATTTATAGAAGGAAAACTGGTAGGATAGTAATTTCCTAGGAGCTGGAGAAGAAATTGGCCGCGTCTTTATTAAAAGGGGTGGGGGCGGGGCAATTTATCAGGACTGTGGCCGCGGGGCGGGGAGGGGGTAGTGCAGAGAGCGGGAAAGCGGCTGCCGCCTCTGGCCGCGTTAGGCGACCCCGGACGTGGCCCGCGTGTTAAGGAGGGGGCGGGGGAGGGGAGGAGAGGGAGAGGGAGCGCTGGCTCTGAGGTTTAATCAGTAGCATCCAGCTTCAATTCCCCCAAACGGCGGTTCCATAAATCAAACTTCTTTTTAAATCGGAGGCCAGAGCATATGCGTCCCATTAGGCATCGGGCGAAGCCACCGCTGTGCGGACGCGCCCCCTCGGCTCACAGGGCCGCCTTGGGCCCTGCCCCGAGCTTCCCGTAGCCTGGTGGGCGCTGCCCTACCCTTCTCTGGTGCGCCCTGCTCTGCGCACACCCTAGGCCTTGATACCTGGGCGCTCTGAGACCTAAGGGCACATAGTGAGCGCCCTCCTTGCCTCCAGGAGAGGCGTCAAGCACATCAAGGTTCAAGTCCTCCAGGCGCGGCAGGATGGCGCGAATGACCGGAGACTGGGGGGGGGGGGGCGGCAACCTGGCTATCTGGTGAGGCGCAGCATGCACGTGCTTGCCAGTTTGTGTGTCGATCTCCTTAGCGTGGCCCGGCGGTGCGCGCCGCGTGGGGTTAATATGGCCTAGGGAGATCTCCCGCTGATTCAGGATCCTGCTATAGGAAATCTTCGACTTAAATGGCTAGCTCCGGTCCCTACGTTCAGTGCACGTAACCTAATCTGCAAGGGCAGTCAGACCGTTCTCAGGCCACCTTTTCTCCGACCCCTAAGCTAAAATTTTTCATTGCCGCAGCTGCCCCCAGGTGTTCTATATGGGCGGCTTAGGCCAGCAAAGTGATTCAAAGGCCCCCAGCTTCTGTGCACCCAGGACACCCAGGACCCCACCCCATGACCCTCTTGCCACATCCTCCGTCCTCCCTCCTACAGCAGTAGTGGCTAGGGGCTCCCCTCCCGCCCACTCCACCGGCCACCGGCGGCACTCACAGGTAGCTGCCGCTGGACAGAAGGAGAAAGATCTGCGGGCAATAGACGGAGACCAGTGCGCTGCGCGGCGACAGGAGGAGCATGATGGGCCGGGGCGCCTGGCTGGGCTGGACAGGCCCTACCCGCAGGGCTCCTGCGCCAACCGAGGCTGGGGTCTCTGCGGCCCTCCCTGATGCAGGGCAGCAGCGCTGGACGCTAGGGGCCAGGGCTCGGGAGCCAGGGGACAGTGGTCTCCCGTGTCTCGACGCCAGGACCGTGCATCGTGCTGTATCTGGGGGAGCAGCTGACGCTGGGGCCGAAGTTCAGGGCGGGGGCCCGGCGGGGGACAGTGGACGCGCCTTAGAGCTCTCTGGTCCTCTGTCCGTCTGTCGGTGCGAACAGGCTCTGTCGCTCACTCTGGCTCAAGTCTCCAAGTCTTCCGAAGCGCGCAGCTGCCATTGGACAGGCCGCCCCTACATCCGCCTCCTCCGCGGGCGGGTTTTTTTTTTTTTTTTTTTTTTTCTTAAGGGGAGGTTGACCAGAGAGTGCAGCGGGAGCCGCCCCCAGGGTTTGCCCAAGTTGCCTTGGCCGGGATACCCTTGCCACAACCTTTGGCTAGAAACACCGCTACTGAGAGCGCATCTCGGGGAGGCACTGCTCGGAGGCGTGTGCTCCTCTTATGGGCTGTGCTCAACAATGTGTGCTCATGTGTGCATGCATGTGCTTGCATGTTCCTGCTGGAGCATGGGCGGTTAGGAGCCCGCAGGTGAGTGTGCATGGATGCCCAGTGTGTGTTGCCCCTCTGCCTGCATGCAGCCTGGCTCAGGCTGGCTGGGTGTAGGTCCCTCGCATTGCACCTGGGCCAGCCCTGCTCTGGGGCTCCGGTTTGGTGCCTAAACCACCCCCTTCACACACTTCTTTCGATAGGAAGGCTCCCAGTTCCTGCTCCCATCATACAGGTCCCTCATGTCTAGCACCTTCATCTCTTATATTTTGCTCTTTGAGGAGTTGGTTGGGGTGGATGAGAAGAGACCCTTCTAAAGAACCCTCCTTTTCTAGTAAATATTTTCACAGCCTACAAACAGATTTTGGGTCCCATTCCCCTACTTCTGCTAAGCCTGGCTGTATTGGAATGTGCTTATATAGAGGTGTATGTCAGCTGGGGGAAGTCTCAGAGAAAGGGGAGGGGGGGTAATGTGGTACAGTCGTGGTCCTAAAGAGTGGATCATTGGCTCCTGGACTTGGCAAGGAGATTCTTGGTCACCCAGGAAGCAGGAACCTCCCTTACCTTCAGACCTCCTGTCCTTTACCACTTTGCTTCTCCCGACCAGAACAGTATGAACAAGCCTAGGGCAGGGCTGCTCCTGGCATCTCAGTGACCTTGGCTGCTCCCTATCCCACCTTGGTCTCCTCCAAAACAGCAGCTCTATCCATAGGGACCTTATGTTAGTTAGGCACTGTGATTTCCTAATGCCATTATGCTTGCAACTAGCTGAGAATCCAAGGCTCGTCTGTTCTGGGATTTGAGGGCTAGATTCTGCTCCTGCTAGTATGGGAGGTGGATATGTGGGATGAATTCACTGGGCAGGATTTTTGGAGGCCCCATCACACATACAGAAAGGTGCAGCAGAGACAGGCTGTGTGTGTGTGGGGGGGCTGAGATCACAAAAGACCCTCTCCCTGGGATAAACTATCTAAAGGAGTTCTCTGGTGGGTGCCACAACATTCTACCATCATTACTTAAAGTCAGGACAAAAGCCAACAGAACTAATGCCTCAGCAGCCTCAAAGGAGGTTCTACCATCACTCCACTATTTTCAGATGAGGATGAGAGGTTGTCTGGGGTAAGAATTCATCGAGGCACCTTCTGGAAGTTCTGTGAGAAGCCTGCTCCAAAGATATCTCAACCCACTTGGCTTCCACACCACCTTTCCTGCCCACCTAATGGAGGGCACACAAAACACACACACACACACACACACACACACACACAGAGAGAGAGAGAGAGAGAGAGAGAGAGAGAGAGAGAGAGAGAGAGAGATTACAAAGATGCCCAAGCTTGAGGAGCAGTTTCTGGAGGGAAAAGAGTTTCCCTCCTGGGCTCATGGGCAGAGTTGGAACCATGCAAAGGAAAGCTTGCTCAGTCCCGTAAGGTAGTGGTCACAAACACTAGGAGGCCAGGCTGAACTGGAAGAGACAGACCTTCAGGGTCTCACTTACCCATTCTTTACTCAACACTGACAGCCATGCGGTTCAGAACAACCAGAGCCAAAATCCTACTTCCAGAAACTGAAGAGGTACAGAGATGAAACCCAGGAACCACTCCAGGAGGAACCCCCCCCCCCCTTGTGAACCCAGGTCCTTCTTCTGGCATCCACTGGATAGGAGGCTTTTTCAGAGGCCTCTTGTTGAAAATCTGGTGCTAAGGAAGACTGGCCAGCGGTTGAAACCAGAGCTGATGGAGTCAAGCACCCAACTCAAAGGCCTCAGTTCCAGAGCCGGTAGCTGGGACCAGCCTGGAGGTCTGTGGATCCCTTCACAGGGCCCAGCAGGATCATTGCAGGCTGCTGAAAGTACGGGAACCTTTAGCCTGCCCACCCCGCCCCCACCCCCAGCAGGCTCAAAGCCGGCACCCCTCACCTTCATAAACAAACATTCAGGGACACAGCCTACCCACACAAACCTACAATAAACACAACCACCAAGAGCCGCGGACGCTCCCGCCCAGGAGTGCAGGAATAAGGCTAGAAAGGGACTAGCAACCCTGTCTCTGAGGCCACCGACCTTGGTCCCTGCCCCTCTCTGGGCCTCAATTTCTTCACCTGTAAGATGGCGGAGGTGCAAAGGACTGGGAGAAGTGCTGATCTTCAGCTACTGTTTCTACCTGTCGCCTGGAAAGCCAGTCTCCCAGGTACCGGAACCCGCCCCTCCCACAGGTCTGGTCACTGGCCTTCCCAGGGCCAAGATGAGGCTGGCCTTCGAGGCCGGGTGGCGCATAGTAGGAGCACTGGGCGCGGCGGGGCGCAGATGCCCGCAGGTACTCGGAGTAAGGGTGGGGGTCTGGGCCAGACCGCCAAGAGTGACTAATGCCCGCGAGGTGCACTGCGCTCGGTTCGGTCACACTGCCCCTCCACCCCCAATCCCGGGAGGCCGAGACAGATTCCGTCTAAAGGAGATCGCGGCTCAACAGGTAAGGACTCGGCTAGGTTCAGGAATGTGGAAATACGACTCGGAGCAGCTACAGCGGCGAGCAGCGAGCGCGGCCCGCCTGGAGCCCGCCCGCCCGGCCGCGCCAGGGGGAGCGCGGCGAGAGGGGGCCGGGCGCAGGGCCCCAGGCGGGCGGGGGTGCGGGCCCCGGACGGAGCCCGAGACTGGTGCGCCAGCCCCGCGGCCCATCCTGAGCCAGCCGGACGAGTTGTCAAGGTAATTTCAACATGTCCGGGTGATGGATAGAGACGCAGGGCCACGGCGGGTGCGGGGCCTGCGCGCTCGCGGTGGTGCACACTCCGATCTCCCCCGCCGGGATGCCCCCCGCCCCCCGGCCCGGCGCGCCCTCCGGGCGGCGAGCGCTCAGCCCGGGCTCGGCGCCCAGCGCAGCCCGGGGGAGGGAAGGCGCGTCCCACCCCCGGGGCCTGGAGCCCAAACAGGTGAAAGTACGCGCCCGGCACGCTCGCCGCTACCCGCGAGTCCCGCTGCGGCCGTCCGCGGGCCGCGCCGTTCCTGCTGCGTCCTGGGCTCCGCGCCCCTTGGGAGCACTCCTGGCTCCAGGGGCTCGGATGAGTCTGCGAGGCTGGGGCGAGGACCGGACACACCGGCCACTCGGAGAAACGCCCTTCCCCCCAACTCAGGTCCCCAGGTCCGCTGAAGGAGGCTCTCCAGGCTGCCGGCTCCTTTCTGCCGCCCCCGCCCACAGAAATACTCACCCGAGCTTCACGTAGAGGACGCCAAAGCAGAGAAACACGTAAAAGATCCACTTTCGAAAGTTTCTGTGCATGATCCAGGGAGGGGGGCTGCGCCATAGACAGCTGCGGCCGAAGGGGACGCGCGGGCGGGCAGGGGCCAGGCAGGGGCCAGGGGGCTGTGGGAGGACCACGCTCAGCCGGCGCTGCGGCTCGGGCGGCGGGCGACGCGCGGGCACCCGGCACGCGTTGCCACCATGGTGAGCCCAGGGCGCCGCAGCCGCCCCGTGCGCCCGGGGAAGTGACCCGGGCGGGGAACCTCGACCTCGGAGCCCAGCGGAGTGACCGTGGGGCTCTGCGAGCGCAGGCCGGTACCCGGCGCAGCGGGCGGGTGGGTGGGCGGACGCTGCCTCAACTGGGCTCAGCCGCCTGGGGCCGTGCGCGCCTCGCGGTGTACCGCGGCGGCCAATGTGTCCGCACTTGTCCGCCTCCCCAGGTGACTCGCGGCCGCGGCAAGCGAGCTGCGAGCAGGCGAGAGCGCCCCAGGTAGGAGGATCCGCCTCCCGCCCGCCCTTCTCGCTCACAGCGCGCTCTCTCGCGCGCGCTCCCTTACTCTCCCCTCCCTTTTCTCCTCCCTCCCCCGTGACACACGAACGCATCTAACCCCGCGCCCCCCCTCCCCAGGCCAGCTCCCTTCCGATCGCCCTCTCAGGACTGCATGGGAAGGGGGAGGGAGGGGGAGGGTGCGGCTCTGAAGAGACACCTGCGCTCCTCTGAACCAGTGAGGGTGGGAGTAGGGGCGGGGGCTAAGAAACAACTCGTGCAGGGCCTGGTGGTCACTTGGTTTCCAGTTTCTAGTCGAAGAGGGAGAGACCACCCACCACCATCTCCTTTCTAAGTGCAGACATCCTCTCCCTAGACATTACCCACATGGGGGCTTCCAGGGCCACACCCCCTGATCAGGCATCGCTGCCTGCCCGGCCAACTCCAGTTCCAACGCTGGGCACTGCACGGTTCAAACAAAGCATGGGACTTAAAGACTGGCAGGCACACTAGGGTACCCACCATTAAGAATGGCACCATGACAGAGACTCAGAAGGCGTCCCTGGAGAATCCCAGCCTCAGGATTCCCTGTCCCACTCTGCTGGGTTATCTGTTACAGGCCTCAGATCTGATTCATGTTGATCAACCAAAGTGGGAAGTTAGGCTAGCCTCGGTGCCTGGCACATCCTGCTTGGGTCTGGCTTGATTCTGTCCTGGACAAATGGGTGCCAGGGACCCCGCCTGCCAAAGCTAGATCTGTGCTAGCTCAGCAGACCAGCTAGTAACCAGATACCTGCTGGAGGCCCAAGCCTTGTTCAAGTGTCTCCAGCCTTAGACAGCATCAAATGGAGCCATTATGACAACGGAATAGACTCGGAGTCTTTAAGGTCTAGCCAGTACCTAGTGTGGAAATAAGGTTCTGTCCTCAGGTTTACCTAGTTCAGCTCTGCCAGAAACCTCGAGCTCAGAAGCTATCTCCCCTGTCCCCAATCCCCTTTTAATCTCTCCAAATCCTCTGAACTTTTGCCATGACCCGGGAGAGAGTCACTCCTGGGCCCAAGGTTCAGAGGCCGGCAGGTGCAGCTGTGCAGAACGTTTTGGGTTGGAGAACTCTGTAGAAAGGAGACTTTGGATCTCACAGGCAAACTGAGGCACGGATATCAAACAGCAGTAGCAGTTCCACACTACGGTCTCCTGAAACCGAGAGCTCTGGATGCCCCACAACTTTGTGGTCAGGGAGCTGAGCTGGGCCCGATGGCGGGAGCGAGCAGAAAGGCAGAAAGCCAATGAGCTTGGCAGGCAGATACTGCCACCTGGTGGCGACCGGGAGCGACGCTTCCAGCCGGAGCTGGACTTCGGATGCTTAGGGGTTCCTCACCATGCCCCGCCCCGGAATCTGGGGCCCATTCCACGTCAACAGTCTCAGTCTTCGGGTCGGTTAGCGATACAAAAGATTTGTGTGGCTGTAGTGGAGGGGGCTGGAACAGTGAGAGGCATCCCCGCGCGTCCTTCACCAGGGTCTTTGGGATTCCCATCTGACCTCCAGGCCAGTCAGATCCAGAGGCCCAAGATAGGATTGGCTCTGGGATTCTCCAGGAGGGATGTGATCGAGAAAAGCAGGTGCTTCTTTTGGTAGGTGGGACCCGTCCTGCTTTTAAGCAGGGTTGCTAACCAAAGCACAGGGTCTACAGCATAGCGTCGTGCTGCCCCCTGCCGGCAGCAGGTGGGAGACGACGTCGCCCAGGCATCCTAGGGGGCTTGTAACCACATAGCCTCCTACCCACCATTTGACCTCGCGGTTTGAAGAAGATATAGTTAAGGTTTGGCTCCAAGATCCCTCCACAACTATTTGTGGGACAAGGTGGAGACTTACTTCTGCTGGGAGAGCGTTTTTCCATAGAGCTGGGTTGGGATTGGTATGGAGAAGGTAGAAATCTCCAGACCCAGGACCGCTTGAGGGCCTGGTTATCTGTGGGTTCTGACAGACCCAGCTATCCTTGCCTGTGTGACTTCGGGCACAATTTTCAACGTCTTCAATCTGAAAATGCTCCTCCTCTTCTTTATCATCCTCATCATCATTCCTATTCTCCACGGTGTTACTCTGATGTGTCCACTTCCAAATGAGTAAACAGTGATGGGTGGATGCATGTCTGGATCAGTGGGTATTTGGGTAGATGATGCACAAGTAGATGAGTGATGGATATATGCATACATGAACACTTGGATGTGGATGGATGGGTACATGGACACATGGGTAGGTGGCTAGGAGGGGTGGATGCATACATTTATAGACCAGTAAGTATCTTAGGTGGGGTTTCTATTGTGACAAAACACCACAACCAAAACCAACCTGGTGATGTTTATTTCAGCGTAGGGTAGCACATCACAGTCAATCACCCATGGAAATTAGGGCAGAGGTTCAAGGCTTGAAAGAGGTAGGAACTGAAGCAGAAGGAACACTGCTTACTGGCTTGCTCCCCTTGGCTTGTTCAGCTTGCTTCCTTATAGAACCTAAGACTACCTGTCCAGAGTGTAAAGGCAGTGCCATCAGTGAGCTGGGTTCTCCAGCAGCAGTCATCAACCAAGAAAAAGCTCCATCGGCTTGCCCACAGATCAGTCTGGTGTGTGTGTTTGTGGTGGGGGGCATTTTCTCAATTGACATTCCCTCTTCCAAAATGACTCTAACTTGTGTTTAGCTGATGTAAAATGAGTCAGCACAGTTGGTCTCTTGTCAGTTTGACATAAAAACACATCACTGTTGGACTGGAATGTTCCCTTTCTCATTTGTCCCTAAGATAGTATAATATTAATACCACAATATAAAACACTCCAGCTTTGTGGGATTTTTTTTTTGCAACAGGGTCTCTTTATGTAGCCCTGGCTGGCCTTGAATTCACAAAGATCTGCTTGCCCCTGCATTTTGAGTTTGGGATTAAAGGAGTACATCATTGTGCCTGGTAAACACTCTAGTTTTGAAAAGTTACACAGTCCTTAAAAATTCAAATACAAGTGCAGTCTCTTTAAAATATTCAAGGTTTCTTTAAAAGTTCAAAGTCTTTCTAAAATATCCAAAGTATCTCTAAAATTCCAACATTTCTCTAAAATATTCAGGCTCTCATGACTGCAGGCTCCTGAAAAAAAAAAAGACTAAACTAGGGCACAGTCACAATTAAATTAAAGCAAAACCAAGGTCCAACAGTATAAAACATCCAACAGTGTAAAGAGCTCAGTGCTTGACATCAGGAACTTACTCATGATCCTCTGGCCTCCAAAGGCCAGCTGACCCATGACACTTGTCTGGCTCTGCCATCCACAGCACATCCAGCCTGTCTCTTAAACTCAGAGCAGCTCCACTCCACAGCTGTTGCTGTCCTTGGTGGTCATCCCATGATCCTGGCATCTCCAAAATGCTGGGCTCTCCTCTGCAACTGGCCTTCACATTTGCCAATAACCTCCTTTCCTGGTTCTCTTCAGAGACTGTGACCCTACCACATGATGTTAAGCCTCAACTCTCCATGACCCCTTCAATCCCGGGGCTTCAAACCGGTGTGGATGGGTGGGTTGATGGATGCATGTATGGATGAATACATAGATGCATGAATTTCTGGTCTCTCATGGTGCCAACCCTCTTTATGATTTCAAAACTAGTACCATTTGGGAGACTCTTACACATTATCAAGTTCAGCTACCAGCACAAAGTACTGCTGTAGCTCCCTCTGGACTATAGCTTCTGTGTACTGACCTTGTGGAAACATTTTCCAGAAAATTCGTCCTCAGTGATGCTGGTCTCTTAATCATAACTGATTCTTCAGCTCTAATGGACCAGCCTCAATTGTCCTAGCAAACCAAATGTTTTGCTTTAGTGGTTCTTAAGAAAAAAAATCACATGAATGGCCTTGATAGAGTCTTCGTTTCCCTCTGAAACTTCACAAGCCAGTCTTCCATTGTCTGCACTGCTCTCAGCATTGTGTTCCAAGTTCCTACAACTGAGCTCAGAGCACTCAATGGCTTTTACAGCCTAAAGTTCCAAACACCTCCCCAATCCTTCCCAAAACATGGTCAGGTCTATGAGAGCAATACCCCACTCCCGGTACTAATTTCTGTCTTAGAGTTTCTGTTGTTGTAATAAAATACCATAACCAAAGCAACTTGGGGAGCAAAGAATTTATTTCAGCTTATAGTTCCACACCACAGTTTATCATCAAAGTAAGTCAGGGCAGGAGCTTGAATTCAGGAACTGAAGTAGAAGCAGAAGCCATGAAAAAATGGTGCTCACTGGCTTGCTCCCCATGACTTGCTCATCCTGTCTTCTTATAGAAACCAGGGCCACCATCCCAGAATGGCACAACTTACAGTGAGCTGAGTTCTTCAACATTAATAATCAGCCAAGAAAACACTCTACAGACCAGTCTGGTGGGGGTATTTCTTAATTAAATTTCTCTTTTCTCAAAAGTCTCTAGTTTGTGTCAAGCTGACATAAAACTAGCTAGCACAGATGAGAGGATGGATGGGTGGATGGATGGATAGATAGATGGATGGGTGGATAGATAGATGGATGCACGTATGGGTACATTCATAGATGTATGACACAATACATGGATGAATAGGTAGGTGAGACATGGATGGATGTGTGCACTCAAGGATGAATGAATGGGCAGGTATGTGGGTGGATGGATACATGAATGTGTTGACTGAGTAATGAGCTGGTGGGGGATTGGATGGATGGATTGGTGGATGAATGGGTATGTGGATGGATAGACATGGGTGGATGGATAGATGTTTAGATAGATGAGTTCATGGATGGATTTGTTGTAGGAGCATGCAGCAAGCCATCCCCACGTGGACCAGTGTGGGTTATGAAGGCGAATTAAGTCTAGCTACTTTTCCGGGGACATTCCTAAATTGTTTGTTTTGTCTGGTTGGTTTTCTTTTTTGTTTTTTAGATAGTGTCTTTCTACAAAGCCCTGGCTGTCCTGGAACTTGCTATGTATAAAATGGCCTTGAATTCACAGAGATCTGTCTGCCTCTGCCTCTGCCTCTGCCTCTTGAGTACTGGGATTACAGGCGTATGCCACCATGACTCGTAGATAATTTTAAGCACTGAAAGTTCTCCAGTGCAGGGACTC